GATTAAGAATTTTAATAAAACAACTGCCTCTAAGATTGAAGCTTGACAGAAGTCATGTTCTCAATGGAATAACAGTGTGTAGATCTGGTCAAGAGGTCTTCTACTGCAAGTTCAATATTAGATTCTCTGTCCTCATGGATATTGACCTCTGACCTTCTGGAAGTATTTCCCATGGCTCTCTCTGTCTGGACTCCCCTTGCTATGCCTTTTGCATTCCACGTGTCACCAGTACTCCATGTCAAACATGAGGCACCCCACACTCCACACCTGTTGTTTTGACCAAGCGACACTGTGCCCTTCAGGAAATATTCAAAGCGGTGTACGGAGAACTATTGCTGTCAGTGAAGTTTCCACTTGAAAAAGTGCTTAAAAAAACACTTTAAAAATAGTTGCTATTGATAGCTTTTTCATTCACTGCTAATGGTAAGAAGATTGTTTTTTAGCATTCATTCATGTCAGTGAAGTTCTATGTGTGAGTATTTTCTGCTTGTACCATGTGTGGTGGAAAGTAACCAAGTATATTTATCCAGGTAGTGCAATATACAATACACAATATACAATATACAATATACAACATTAAGGTACTTATTTCCATTTAATGCTACTTCAACTCCACTACATATCAGAGGCAAATGCTGCACTATTTATTCCACTGAATTAATTTCACAAGTAGAGTCACTATTTGCTTTTCAGATTTAGATTTTACATTAAAAAAAAAGTATAATAAGCTTATAAAATACAATGCACTGTTAAAGGAAAAGTTTAACATTTTGACAAATATGCTTATTCACTCTCTTGCTGAGAGTTATGAGAAGATACCACCCTCTTGTCTGTATGCTAAAATTGCTAATTTAGCTTAACACAAAGCCTGGAAAAAGGAGAAAACAGCTAGCATGGCCTCCTCCAGAAGTAAGAAACACTTCCTACCAACACCTCTAAAGCTCAATAGCTCATTGAATCTCCCATTTGTAGAGTGTCATGTGCCAGGACCCAGGAAGTTAATGGTCCCGACCAAGACAACCTTCCATAAAATGTCAATATTTCATTTTTACACTTTGGTTTTTGTAGAGATTAAACAAACAAAATACACGCTTTAGGTGTGCTGGTAGGTTGACTTTGTTACCTTTAGGCAGAACGAGGGATATAGCTGTTTCTCATGTACCTCTCTGCTAGAAAGCAAATAAGCTTAGTTTCTAAAATGTCAACCCATGCCTGTAAATGTTAAACCAGTGGTTTTCCCAGCAGTCTTCAGCTGTTTTCGAAGGAATTGAGCAGTTCCACCATTAAAAAAAGCCCTACACCTCTCAGATAAATACACTCAAACAAGTATTTGAAGCACACAAAGGTAAATCATATTTAAAGCAAACATTAGAGAAAAGTCAGAACTTGTGCAGCAGAACATTTTGATTTTTTTTCTTTTTTCCTGCCCTGTTAATAATCTCACACTCCCCCAGATTAATTTTATGACCCTTTAGCGGGGAGCCACTGAACTAAACAGATGAACCGTATATAAAGTAGTTAAAACTAGCTCCACCTCAACCAGCTATACAACAAAAAAACCTTTACTTACTGCACACGTTGTTGTCAGTAATAACAATTGAAATAGTATAATATACATGCAATGAATATATTATTTACAGCTTCCATCTTTCTGTGGATCGAGTACAACTGTAGTTTTTGGTACATTAAGTCTCTATAACTGATTTTACTTATTTTTAAATGTACTTGTAATTAAGTTATTTGTATTGATATATTTCTACTTATAAGTTCTGAATTTCTTTTGCACATTGGTAACATGGCAAAGTAGAGGTTACTGTCCACAAACAAGGATCATGGGAAGATATTGTCATGTAGATTTATTTATACTTTTACAAATTCATCTATAATCCCCCTCTGCTATGAATGCTGTATCTAAAAATAGTCAACAAATGTGACACAAATAATCACCATCATCCCCATTTCCTGCTCTCATTGGCTTGTTGTGGACCCACGACACCTAAAACCTCCTGGTAGTATTGTGACCCACAGCCCATTGGGACATGTAGGAACACATCATATGCATGAGAACACAGGCAGTGCTGAACCCAATGCACAAATCCATTAGGAGACTTGCTATTGGGGCAGCAGGCCCACTGTGAGACCCCACTGCTGTAAAATGCAATGATGTGAAAAAGCTGTAGAAATTCCTCTGTGCAAAGAGGAGAGTTACGTCTAGCTTCATCCAGCGGGCGAAAAAAACCATCATGTGTGCTAGTATCAGGCAATATAATGCTTCATTCCTCATCCTTTTGGTGTTACCTCATTAGCAGCAGTGTTCTGATGTTGTGGAAATAATCTTTATCTCCCACAAATGAGAATTTGTTTCTTTGAGGCCTGACCACTGAGGAGGAGAAGAAAAGAAGCAAGTGGAGGGAGTAGAGTATCGTGTGCTCTGACAAATTCAAGTTTACGCCTTGCTCCCTTTGTACTTGATCCAGTTTGGACAATGAATTCTCAGTGCAATCAAGTGGATGCTGCAAAGAGCAATGCAGAACTACAAAAAAACAAGACAAGGATGCCTGCCTTGTATCTGATATATGACAATAGATATGATATAACTTAGTGATATTAAATTCTGACATGTTCTCATGGCAGTATATAGCAATTTATAGCCGTAGAAAGCTTATCTGAGACGCAGAGAAGCAGCCAAAGCAAAAGAAAATGGAGCTGATGTTACAGAGAAACCAGGGAGAGTGTAGGTCATAGACAGACAGAGCAACATACATATGCAAAATTAGCTAAATACAGTCGTGAGTTATGATGGATCTTATAGCAGAGGGCGGGATGGATAGATCATGCTGTCCTTGAACATACCAAAAGAAAAATGTCTCCACGAGCAGTTGCCCTTCATATTAAATCACAGGCAAAATGACAGACAGTGTGGGTGGATGGACTAGTCATTTCAGCTATCCATCCTGGGCTCTGGATTGTATTTTACATTTATCTACTGAGCAATATGAGTTGTGTCAGTATCAATATGTTTAGTGTAAAAATGGCAACTGTTTTTTACAAAGATTGCCTCCTATAGACTATACCTCCCAAATCCAGTATCAAGAATTCTACTAAATCAAATTTCTATGCTAAACCAAGCCTGATTTATATATAGTATATATATATATATATTAATTTGTTTATATCAGAGTGGATATTTTCAATTGCATGAAAATTTACAGGTAATCTTTAAAGGTACAGTTTGACATTTATTTTAAGATCAATAGGCCTATGACTCATGTGTAGCCTGTGCTATTAAACTAGCAATCAGCTGCTTAGCTTAGCTGAGGTTAGCATAACAATGAGAAGCAGGGGACAGGGGCAGCCTGGCTTTTTCCAGCACCTCTAATGTTCACTAATCAACACTATATACAAAAATTTGTGGTTTTATCAGTAACGTAATTTAAGTTATGTACGTAAACTGACGTAACTAACATAGTTATTTCAACAGAAACTATGATGATGTAGTTTTGTTGCCTAAACATAACCAAACTGCGCCTGTGTCTACGTGTTTATTATTGTTACCACCAACGCCCTTAAGGTCACCTGACATCCTCCTTTCCCACAGGTCCAAAAGTCATAAAATGCATCAGTTATGTTGTACCCCTATTTATCAACGTATGCCAAACAATTGACAAAAATTCAATTCTTTGTATGTTGATATGAAAATCATTTTGTCTTCCTGTAAAACAAAATGTGCATATGCTTACGTACGCATGGAACCAATTTCAGCCAACAGTCTAATGACATTCACCTGTCAATCAGTCTTCAACTCAGGTAACAGGACTGCTAGCTGCTGGACCGGGGGGAACGTAACACATAGTGCTATCAGCTACCGTGACGAGTCCCTTCCTAGCTGCTTGTTTTTACAGGGAATACGTAAATGTGAGGAAGCAAACAGCTCTCTGATTCCCATTTCACCTGGACTTTAATGCTTCAGAGACTTAACTTCAGGGCCTTATGTTTGGGTTTGTTAAACCACTGGCTCAATTTGCCCCATAGCCACCATTTTTGGAAAAAATAACTGCAGCTCAGCCTAATCCTTAACTAAAGGATTTACATGGTTTGCAAATCACTGATATGTGTAATACACATTTCTAGACCTGGATGAATTCACTTTGACATAACAAAAAAAATGACTCCCGCAAATTCAGTTCTTTTGTGTGAATAAATCACTTCCTCCAATGTGCTTCTCTCTGTCACAGCCAGATATAAATGATGGATGCTTCCTGAATTTATGGTCACATGACAACAATTGTGCACAGTTGCCTGGAAACGTGGGGTGGATCAACTTACTCACTGGTTCATCTTACCCCACTGTCCCTATCAGGTTATTTCTGGATCTTTATTTTCCCACAACTTGTCGGTTTTTGTACAGATTACACAAACATGATATGACGTGTTAATTAGGCAGATTCTTTTAAAACCTATTGACAGAACCAGGCTGGCTGTTTTCCCCTGTTTCCAGTCTTTACGCTAAACTAAACAAGCCATCTCCTGACTGTAGCTTCATACTCAACCTGACGCTATAGGAGCGATATTGAGCGTCTCATTTTACTCTTGGGAAGAAAGCAAAAAGCAACGTATTTCTCAAGATGTCCAACTATATCTGAGATATAGATAGAAGGGTAAATAAATACAGGTTAAAAAGTTAAGGGAAAGGACAGAACGAAGAGTGGAAGGTGAAAGGAAGATGAAGAATGATGACCATTAGTCTGTGACTCTTTGGTGTGGTAGCAGAGCTGACGCTGTCATCCTCCCTCGAGCCCCTTTAGCCACTCATCTGTAGCTGACCTTGCACTGGCATGTGGGCTGCTTCTTTCTTCCACATCAGATACACGGTGTTGTATGATTGCTAGCAGAATTGAACAGCTTGCTGCCATTTTGCTACTCTGCAACTTGATGGCACCTGGTGCCATAAAACAGCTTGAGACTCCCTGTAATCATCCAAGATCCATGATGGATTCAGATTCCTGTTTTGGCATCTTTATTCATCCACTCAGACATCAGACAAAGCACAACAAGAATACAAAAATCTGAAAATGGATCTGAAAGTAGTTGTAAAATATGCTGAGAATATTTATGAATACTTTAAATTAAACATTTGTAATTCCTTTAATATTCCAGTAACAGTGCATTATATCAGCAATGTGTTACATTGGCATCTTAGAGCCTCCCTGTGAGGTGACCCGCTCATAGTTTGTTTGCTGTGGAAGTTTTGCTGGGAGGCTGTCAGAGCTCATCTCGGCTCGGGTGACATGTGCTCAGGCACACTTGCACTATCACGGAATTACATCTCTGGCTCCTGATGTGTATCATGTCCCTCAGGCATTTAATAAACAAGAAAGATGGCTTTGTTTATAATCCGGTCTTCCCCATTTTTAAGATTTCAGCAATTCCTAAATCATTCAAGGTCTGAAAGGGGACGTGTGGTGGAGCTTTGAACTTTTTTGTCTGATTATCTGCATGCGATAGTTGAATAGTAAACACAAGTTTGTTTACCGGAAGAACTGACTGAAAACTGTAAGAGAGTTCAATTTTACAAACAACAAAGCACGCTCTTTTCCACTGACATGTTAATGTTCTGCTCTGATATTTGTGGTTTCTTCTCTTGAATTAAAACTGGAGCAAAAGCTTCCACAATCTTCCCAGTGTGTTTTGTGAGGGCATCGTTGCTATGAAGACAAGCCTGAGGGTGAGTCGGCATCATGGTGAATTAATACAGCCTACATTCCCAGTGAGAGACTGAGCTACTCGTCACACTGAGGATGAAATGTGGGATAGCTGTAAAAAAAAAAAAAAAAAAAAAAAAAGAGCTAAAGCTTAAGTGTTTCCATATTGGCAGCTGCCCAAGTTTTAATATTCTCAGTCACTAAAATCCAAATAATAGTGTTAAATCCTTGATAATTGAACCGAGCATTAAATAAAAAGCCTCCAGTTAATTGCATAGAGAGAAACAAACAAATCTTGAGACTTTTACATAATTAATTCTGAATTGAAGAGCATAGAGACATGATGGGAAAAGAAACTGTATTTATTTTATTTCATTATGTTGTTCACATATTTATAATTGATCTGTGCCAATAGGCAGTGAGTCATTTTTGTGCACATGTACACATGCCCGGGATGTGGCTTGGAAAGTGAAGTATCCCGTCAAGACAATAGGCTATAAAGTACGTAGTGACTCACTGTAAGTAATTGTCAATGCTGCTGACTACCCTCCAAGGTCAAAATGCTTTTTGGTGAAGGCTGACAAGTTATATGGATTTTTTCCCCCCTAACTTTTAACCAGTTTGTCTGTCTTCAAATAGAGTGCCAGGAAACTGCCACAAAGGAGCAAAATGTTTCGATGATACAACTGATTGTTTTCCTCCCAACATGAGGGAACAGCGTCTGACATGGCTAAAAGGAATATGACGGCAGCAGTGTCCTTCCCAAACATGATTACATCTTTACAACTGGAAACCACAACTTGTAAAAAGGCACGGAGTGAATCATGTCACACATCCACAATAGAGGCTCAAGAGAAACTTAATCTAAGTTTCTCATTAAAACATTTGTTTATACATTTATCTCTGCTACGTTATTGTTCGTTACAGCTGGTGAAGGCTTACTCTTCAGTCCCTCTGTGGCACACCTGGAGGTCTCCATGAGGAGCAAACGTGGGATGCAAAGAGCAAGAAGAATTGTCTTGTATTCTTTGCGGAAGTTTTGGTTTAATAGTCCATATATAATAGCGTTGAGGCAGCTGTTGAAGTACGCCATAAAGTAGCTTGTGACAAATAGCCACTCAGGTATGTTGGGCGCAACTTTCACAGGGTTTATAGCTACAGCCAGCCCTATAAGGTTCAATGGAGCCCAGCATACTGCAAACAACACAAACACCATAAACATAGTCAGGAAGTTCCTCACATCACTAGGTTTCAGTTTGGTCCTTTGCTCCGGTTTAACCCGATGTTTCACTTGAATCACCAGCACCCATATCCTCATGTAGCAGTAGGACACCACCAGCAGCGGGATAAGAAAGTGAATAACCACCACTGAGATAGTGTAGTATGAGCTGACCGTCTGGGCGAAGGTGCAGGAGTAGATGCGGGGATCGTACTGCAGGGAGCCAACAAAGAAGTTGGGCACTGTGGCGATGGCGGTGAGCAGCCAGGTGAGGCCCAGGTAGCAGCAGGTGTTCCTCAGGCTGTACAGGCGGTCGTAGTGGAGGCTGTGGCAGATGTAGCAGTAGCGGTTGATGGCAATGGCCGTGATGTTGAAGATGGAGCCGATGACGCTTAGGCCCATGATGAAGCCGCTTGCCTGGCAGTGCAGGTCACCCATGGTCCAGTCATTGTGGAAGATGGCTGTCAGGACCAGAGGATAGGGGTACAAAGCCACCACCAGGTCTGCTACAGACAAACTCACCACGAAGATGTTGCCTGGAGACACATAAGAGGTTTAGAAACCAGAAAAAACATGACCCAAACTGGTGTATAATTAAAGCATACAGCACTTTTTATTCTGCTCCGGGTTAAATTCCTTAAAATAAACTGGGTCACCGGAGGTACAACTGTGACTTAACGTCATAAAAGAGCAGCTTCACTGTGCCCTTTGTGGCTCATTTTGATAAGGCTTTTACCATGGACTCTCCACTGCACTGATGTGGATCCAGGCAATTGCTTTTGTGTTACAGCTCTCTCAGTGCTGCAACCCCTTTTTTCTCACTGTAACTGTTTTTAAAACTAACAGCACAGGATGAATCCCACTGATTTTGATGATTCACTGACTTTAGAGACACTGTGAAGCTCACATTTATAGTTTTAAGTGAAATACATCTTGGATGGATTAACATGATTTATTATACATTCATTTCCCCCTCAGGATGAATTGCAATAATTGGTTTGAGTTTTCATCTGCCACCAACATTCAACATGGAAGACTCAGTAGATAAAAACGACTCATTCTAAGGTAACGAAAACACAAAACACTAATGAAATCATTCCTATGAAGATTATATTTAATTTCTGCCAGCAAATCTTCCTACATTTTTATTATTAATGTGAAAGTCGCAATCTCGCAAATCCTCTCTAAGGAAATACAGCTGCAGCAAGAGCAACGGTGCTGCGCCAGTTGACAAAATACTTTTAGAAAAACTGCCAAAACAAGAAGACGCTAAAACTCAGTTTGCCGTAAGGTTTTCTGTGCCAGGACTTCCGAACGGTTGAAAACGTGCTGGTGACATCGGTGCCCAGCTGGTTGTGTGGACACAACAACAGCTGAATGTGTAGCAACATAGTTGGCGATTGATTCAGCCAAATAGACTCGGTCAATTATGATTTGAAATCATGTTTCTATGATACACTTCTAATTGTGCAAGTAAAAATATGACTGTGCATATCATGTGTTTAATCACGGGTTGGAAGCAGGACTTATATTAACAGGATGGCTCGGGTTGAGTCGGATTGGTTCAGATTTGGAGATTATTGTGGAGAAGAGGTCATATTTCTGATGCTGAGGTCTGCGGGTGCAGGTTTTTCAAAACTGGACCCATGCAGGACTCTGCCTAGTCTTGCTAATAATAATGATTTATTTGGCAGCTCCATCCCAATAAATATGGCAGTGCTTGTTTTAAAGCTTCTTTGCCCCTGGGAACAGACAGTCAAACACTGAGTTTAAGTACATAAAAACCAGAACATGGGTAATTTTAGCATCAGATTACATTCAAACAAGTTCCTGTCCTCCTGAGGTCTAAGCCGATGGTAGTGTGACACTGGATCTCCTCAGAAGAAATGAATCATAGAAAATGACGTCTGATATTGTTACAGTGCAGCTGTTCTGGGTGGGGGAGAATAAAACAATAAATCAAACTGTAATGTTGTGTCAGATAAGAAGATAGATAACAAGAACATAAAGTGGAGTCACAATGCAATCGAATTGGCGTTTCGCAAAAGAAACATTAGCTTCTCATAAGTTTTGAGAAGACGTTGTGCAATAAAGGGTCTATTGTGTGTGCAAGCTGCACATCTTAGGAGTCTAGATTTGTGACGAAGTGGAGATTTTGCCTAAATAAACCCAGTGTTTGCTGCCATTAAAAGTCTACAGTTTACCCAGCCTTTTAGAGATAAAACTCTTTATCAAATAATTAGCACTACATGTAGTGAGTAGCACCACGCTGATAGAAACTACAACAAAATAAACTGAAATTATGATTATATACTGCTTGTCATTACCAACATTTAGCCTGTTTCTCATGTACCATTGCACCATGGGTTAGAATTTAAACATTTATCTTTTCTGTAAATAATGTATAAGGGATTATATATATAATGTGCCTCATTTTAACAAATTTTTTTGTCAGACATTGGGGCGATTCCAGGGTTTATATATATAACATAAACTACCTTCTGAAGTTGAAATGTGAAGTCGCGAGGCTCTCGCTCATTCAGACAACAGCTGAAACAACAGCGTTGATTGGCAGATATGATGGGAGTGGATTTAAAACACATGTTGGCCATCAATCCTCTACGTTAAAAGCTCGTTATAATCCCGCACCCCAGGGACAACACAGCTACAGTATGTTGTTTAGCAACCAGTCTAATTTCAATTCACTCGCCTAAACTTGATTCCTCAAATGTGGTAATAATAAAAAAAACAACAAAGAACATACAAAAATATTAAAAGTCCCACTTTTAGGACATTTTTCAAAAAATAAAATCAGATGTTGGTTTGACATTTTTCCTCAGACATGGCAGAGGTATTCAGAGACAGTTGATTTCCAAGTTACTAAAACAGCACGGGTCCTCTCTCAAGCCTGCTGAGATAAAAATAAAAGCATTTGTTCTTCATCCTCGAGTCAGCTCAGTGGGCAAATCTGTCAGATTGTATTTGTGACGCTCATAGTACTCGCTGTGTGCATTTGTCATTGTGCAGAGGTTTGATTCCTCGCTGACATCATGTGGCTCAGTGTTATCATTTGTACTGGCTGGACAGGGCATGCTACAGCCTTATAGCTCTTTCTGGCTGAACCCTCTTTCCCCCTTATCGTCAAGAGGATGAGGTAAGTGCTAAAACACCCCTGAGAGGATTGCTGTGAAGTGGCCAGATGATTGTCTTTATTTTGTTGGCATCCATTATTAAAACACTGGACAAACCGTAGCCTCTCGCTGTTTGATTAACCTAATTGGCCGACCTGATGCTCATCAAACTCACAGCACTCAAAATGATTATTGTTTTAGTGCATAACAGCCAACCAACAACGATATTCACACTCCTGGATACCAGAATAGAGTCGTGGCCACTGACATCTATGGGAGCTATTATTATCAACGAGTGTGAGTCGGATAGCGCTTAACCTGAATGCGGATTGGTTGCAGGCCTTCAGGGACAGCTGACTTGCGCCCTTTAGGTTCCCTGACACCATTGGCTCTGTAATTATCTGATCATACTGTATACTCTCACAAAACTGTCAACCAAGTGAAATGTTGCATCAAATCAACTGATTCTCGCTTTGAAGTGACTCCCTAGAGTTAAGCGACCACCCCATGAATTCCCCCAGTGCATCACTCTCTCTGTCTGTCACATACAGCATTTTTGGGGGAATGAAATAATAAATCAAAATCACAGCAGACAACTATTCAGCTATGCATGAGTGAAACAAGATATTTGTCGCCAGCACACACCAGGCAGCAAAAATATATTAGACAGGCTCAAACTGCCTCACATCCTCCCTCCCAGCTTACAAACCCACATATGTATTAAAATAGGCTCTGTATACAATGTGGGCATATTTATGGCAGATTGCTTCACTCCAGCTGAATAGTTCTGAATAGTAGAAAGAACAATGTAGGACATAAAAAGGGGGTGATGCTGGAGAAAGAAGAGGTAGATAATGAATTTGCGAGATATAAACAAACCAGAAGACAAAACAAAAGCCTCCGGCAGATTTTCAATCTGGCGGGTTGCATGGCTGTGTGCATGTGTGAATCTCAAGGGCTTACGTTCCTCTGTCAAAGCCACTGTCTGTATCCCATCACTCTCACACGCTCATACAGGAAACGTGATATACTAGGCTTTGATTCACCCGCTATATTTATACACCTTTGAAGGAAAGATGCATTCATAAAAATGTGTAGGAGGGTTACCATCGCTTGAGTCCCAGTGAATGTCACCAGTGCAAGTCTTACTACTACAAGTGCATATCCCAAATTAGATTACATTCAATTTACTCAGCATGTTATTATAAATAAGCACGAATAACCTTTTGGCAAGGGCACGAGCGCTGATGAATTAGTAGTGACTACTTCATGAACTCGTGTTCAAGGCGGCAGAGAATTTTTTCGAAGGAGTTCAACATTAAACTGACACAAGCTGCCTTTTGGTGATGTAGCCTGCTATGAGCCCGGCCAAAAACATCATCGTCACCATGAGAGGCCATCCACCAATCAGACCCTCGACGTCTGAGAAAATAAGACACACTGGCCCTGAGAGAAATCAGACCATTAGGACACAAGCAGCGTCTCGTCCAATAGTGTTTCACGCGGAACATGAGGATGTTCGTGAATTATGCATATTTGAACAAAACAGCCTCCTACAGGAGAAAGAAAGACTGGATGTGATGCGAGTGCATTTATCTTATCCAAGTGTGATTTTGTTAAATAATCCCATTCTGATAACATCCTATCTACATACGGAGCGCATAAGAAAACGAAATGTCATGTACAATTTTTGTTTTAGGGGAAAAGAAGATATGTTTAATGTAGTGTGCTAAGTGATATTCCCTGTGGATCTGTGCTGTCAATTTAAGTTGGCTTCTGGTTTGACTCACTAAGTCCACTGACTCAATTAACCCCCCTCTGGACACTCTGGTTTTGGGGATTTATTCATGACTGTAGAGTGAATGAGGGAATGATGTGCATGGTTTAACAAAATTCCAGTCCATCCTCAACCTTACACACCCTCGTGACCCTGACATGGAGGTGCAAAATACACGCGCGCACACACACACACACACACACACACACACACACACACACACAGTCAAGTTCATTCTTTCGTTATTTCCTCCATCTGCTCCCCTTCATCGTTCTTTTTCCTCTGTTCCTGTCTCTCTCTCATGAGTGCATTTTGTGAGTGTATTTTTAGTATGGTTAACCCCAGTGGGAAACTCCAGTGTTAACACCCCATTGGCAGTCCTATAGTGCCATGCTCTACCCTTTTTGAAGAGTCACTGGATAGATCCTATTACATTTGCACACTTGAGAGAACCTGCAAACCTGTGAAAATGGAACACATGGTATCAATTATCCTCAAATATGTGAAGATATGTCACTCAGAAGATGCACCAGCATTTACCAAACGGGTGCACATGCATGTGTTTTATTTTTTTTTTTTGGGGGGGGTTGAGTGGTAGATAGCGGAGGGATATATGGAGACAAAGTGT